TTGTCATATTTGGGCACCTGGAAAGCACATTTTAATTGATTCAATTATTTTATTTATTTATTGAGTGCCCACTATGTAGATGCCAGGGCAGTGTCATTGTGAACAAGATGGAAACAGGGTCTCCACCACATGAAACTCAATTTAGTCCTGGCAGATTAAAATCTTGGCAAGGACTCCCCCTGCCCAGACAGACTGGGATAGAAGAGGAGCATCATTTGGCCTCTGGCCTCAGGTGCCTGGATTCACAGACTCTCCACCACTCTACTGGCTCCAAGACCTTGGCCAGCTTATTTCATTTTTCTGAGTCTCCATTTCATCATCCATAAAAATAGAAAAATTAATGTTTCCTACCTCATAGGGTTGTGAGCATTAAATGCAATAATTTATGTAAAGTGCTTAGTGCAGTGCCCGTGGCACTGTGAGAGCTAACTGCTGTTAGCAAGCACTGACTGCTATTATTATGGCTACTACTCAGCCAAAACGACTCCACAACAAACATTAGATGTAAAAATGGGAAGTGTCTACAAGGCTAGAAAATACCTCATTATTTGGAAGAGATGCTTCCTATCTTTCTTGGGCTAACAATTTAACTCCCTTTGCTTTTTGTTTACATCTTTGCAGCCAGAGTATTTAAGATCGATACATAAATGTGTTGGTAAATTGCCCATCCCTTGCTTTATTTTTGGTTTTGGTAAATGCCCATCCCTTGCTTTATTTTTTGTTTCTTCGTTTGGCGAAGGATTTAACTCATTTGGAAATGGAAATGCTTGGGTTGTCATTCAACCTCTCTAAAGGTAGAGAGGTGTATGCACCTTTTTAGCACAGTGCTTGCAAAGGAGAATTCCTTAAAGGGTTTTACCATTAAACTGCAAAATTGAAACCCTAAGTAACCAGCATGTAAAGATTTAATTAGCACTGTCTCATTAAAATAAATGCGTGACATAGTCTTAATTCCAAAAATGACGTTGCCTTTGAAAATGCATTTTGGAAATGAGCTGGGGAAAAGGGAGAATTGAACTTTGAAGGCGGTAATGTGATAATTGGGGAGTTTGCAGGTTGAGCCTTTTCTGAGTCCTGCCCATTGTTTGGTCTGAGGGAGAAGGACACCTGCTTATATACCTGTATGTCATGTTAAAATAAAACAAAATAAAAGTCGTGGTACTGGGCTTCTCTGGTGGTGTAGTCGTTAAGAATCCGCCTGCCAATGCAGGGGACATGGGTTCGAGCCCTGGTCCAGGAAGATCCGACATGCCACAGAACAACTAAGCCCGTGCTCCACAACTACTGAGCCTGCGCTCTAGAGCCTGCAAGCCACAACTACTGAGCCCATGTGCCACAACTGCTGAAGCCCCTGCGCCTAGAGCCCATGCTCCGCAACAAGAGAAGCCACCACAATGAGAAGCCCGTGCACCGCAGTGAAGAGTAGCCCCCACTTGCCGCAACCAGAGAAAAGCCCGCACACAGCAACAAAGACCCAACGCAGCCAAAAATAAATAAATAAATAAATAAAATTTAAAAAATAAATTAATTAAAAAAAAATCTTGGTACCTACCAGATTCTTCTGTAAAGATTCATTGCAACCAAACTGCAGAACTACTCTTGTGCCTGTGTTCTAAAATCTTTCTAATATTCTAGGAATCTGTTCTGTCCTTAACTGAGGCATAGAAGATGTCTCAGTGGTACACAAGATTTTTGGCATAGAGATGATCCATCCCTAGATCTTCACTCTGATCTCTTGAGCTCCAGTCATTTGGGAGGAATCTGTATTGCCTTTAAGAGCTATAAATATTCCCAGCCAGCCAGTCTATACTTTTGATACTTCATGGACAGTCCCACTCCTCTGATTCAAAAGCAAGGGTTCTTTGGGATGATCATGTGACATGTGGGAGGTGGTGTTTAGGGCATGTGCTTTGGAGCCAGGCTGTCTTAGTTTAAGTCCTTCTCCATCACTTTCTAGCTGTATGTCTTGAGCAGGTTACTTAATATCTCTATGCCTTGGTTTCTTCAGTGTGAAAAGGGACAATCATAGTTCCTACCTCCTAAGGATGTTATGAGGGAAAAATAAAGCACTAAATAAGGGTTGGGCTTGAGAGCGAGAGTGAGTGAGAGAGAGAGAGAGAGAGAGAGAGAGAGAGGGAGGGAGAGGGAGAGGAAGAGGGAGAGAGAGAGAGAAGCAAAAGAGGAAAAGAAAAGAAAAGCTGTTCCAGATAATTTTCAGGAAATGTATTAATTTCCTTGTTGGAAGAGTAGATATTAAGTCGGTTTTCAGCACCTGACTCTAATTTTCTAAGTTGAGAACTCCAAAGGAAATGTATGATTATTGAGATTCTACTATGTACCAGGCACTGCTCAAGACATGCTGTCTCATTTAATCTTCACAACACCCATGTGAGGCAGATAAATGTTGATCCCCTTCCAACAGGTGAGGAAACCAAGGCCCAGAGAGTTAGACTAATCTGTCCAAGGTGACGTACGTAGTTCCAGGGTATGGCCCTAGCTCTGTCTGCCTCTTTAGACCATTTCTTTTTTTAAAAAATTGCTAAACACAGTTTCTCTTAAAAAGCCAGGATCAAGTGTTTTTCACAGGTGTAAGAAGTGCTGCTTACATGGGTGCTATTAAGAGTTGAAACTCAGAAAAAGAGTCCTATGACATCATCTAGACTTGCCCAACCTCACCACTTACAGGCAGGAAAGATGGCCAGCATGATCTGAGTCGGAGGAAAAACCAGAGCTAAGGACTCGGGTCACCTAACTCTTCATCTAATACTCCAATCTCTGCACCACTCTGAGTTTTGAACTACCTCCAAACCAGATAAGATTCAGAACTAGACAGTATTAGGGCATGAGCCTTATATCCTTGACTCAGTCTTATTTGAGATCTTGGACAAGCGACTTGACCTCTCTTTGAAAAATAGGGACGATCACACTTTATACCATATACATGTAAGTCACTCACTATAGTGGTTAGTACATAGTAAGTCTTCTATTAAAGTAAGTCTATTAATAAAGTTAGCTAATTCATATTATTATTATTCATGAGGCGTCTCCTGTCTTTAATGCTCACTTTCCAACTCCTACTCATGTTTCAAATCCACTTTACACTTCTCACATTTGAATATCTATGCCCTTATAGAGTTTGCAACACACAATCCATCAAATTAAAGGAAGTTCAATTTATGCATTTTACAAATTAAAGTTATAGAACAAATCAACCATTATAATCAATTCACTGCCATGTTTTAAAAAATCAATGAACATTGTTTAGATGACCTGACTTAATTTTTTGTAATAAGTTGGCCATCAGCATGATTGATTGAGCTGTCCACCCTATCTCTGATCTACCTAAGCAAAGGTCAAGACAGAGGTTACTGAACAAGCCACAGCACTCTTCCTAAATTGAATGTTTTCCTATGCGTCTAATAAATGGTAACCGATTAATGATGTGCTAGAGGCCAACGTCCTTCAGAGAGTTTTGGACCCTGCCCATTTAGACCCTGCCAGCATATGAATTTCAACTAATCCCAGACTAAGTGAAGCAGTGTAGGGTTCTGTAAAGGACCCTGTTTTTGGAGAGTAGGAATGCAGTCCAGCTTGGCCTCCAAATATGTGATCTCACCTCTCTGAGGTGTCCTCTGTGAAATGAGAGGTCTTTTTAGATGTGCCAGGTGATCTCTAAGGCCTTATCCAACTTTCACAGTTTGTGTTCCTCATTTCAAAGGGAGGCTAGCCTGCTAGCCTTTGATCAGTTGAAGCCAAATCAGAATCTGAAGTAGATGTTCTTCCCCAGGGCTCTTCCACAAGCCAGCTACTTCGATTTGGATTCATGCCAGGTGGCTCTGGGCTTTTGGCTTTCGTTTTTCTTTTGCTTTTTAAAAATTTTCTTTTGTACTTCTTCAGTTCATGCAGTCCTAGCCTGCCCTGTTTACCATTCCTGGCCAACCCTCCTACAATGGCTAATGTGCTGCCATGCCCGGTTCCTCTCAGGAGCCTAATGAATTGTGGCTCCAGCTTATACCCTCAGCTTGGAGACCAGCTGCGCCTTTGAGCTTTTCCCAGAGGTGTTGGCTGATGCTGCACCTGCGGCGTGATGGATTTGCCCTAGCCCAAAAGAGGAAGGAAAATGAGGGGGAATCAAAGGATCACTTGTGTCCATCCTCTGCTTTACACACTAGTGCATTTGTACCGCCTAAGTGTGCCAGAGAATTTTTGAGTCTTTGTTAATTAAGAATAACAAATACAAGAAGAAAATGAAATTAGGGAAAGGACAACCAAATTTTTCTCTGGGAACCAGAAAAACCAACACAGAATTTTAAAATGGTCAGAGCAGGAAATGCTGAATCGGGGATCAAGACATTTGTGTTTTATTTTGTTCCTCTGCCAATTAACTGGGTCATCCTGGATCACCTAGGGTATCTCTAAGGTTCTGCCTGCCTTTAAAAGTAGGTCTTACAAAAGAAAAGGAGTGTAAGATGAATTTTTGTAAATGTAATGTTTTTTTAAAAAGCACTAAACAGGTTTTCTTCAGAGCAAAGAGTCACACCGTAATATACTGTTTCTAATTATAGGTTTTCACATATGGAGTATTTGCCAATAATATTTGAAAATTGATATCTAATTATCAGATCCTCCCATTAGCTCAGCGTTATTGGTGATAATGGTTATTTATGGTGATATTTAAATAATTCAGACGTGTCAGACTGGCCACATGCCATAAAAAGCCTCAAAAAGTAGATTTTTTTTTTTTTAGCTTGTACAGTTATAAACATCCATGGATGCCTCTTGGAGTGCATGCACTCTCCAGCTTTTTACACGGCCACTACTTCCTTCTGTGTTCTACTCAACTGACTTGACCTACCTGGCCCCTGAAGGCACTGCAGTTCGAGATCAAACACCACGCCTCTACAACAATTTAAGAACCAAAAAAGGGAAACAAAGGAAAGAAAGGGGGAAAAGAAGAGAAGGAGGTAAGAGGAAGAAGGGAAGGCAGGAGGAAGGATTACCTCTCTGAAAATGGTCCGAAGTATAGTTTTCATGACATGGGAGAATGGGCTAAGATGACTGCCCGAGGTTCATGGTGGTCTAGGAAGCTGTGACTGTCTCTCCTCTCAACCCACTTACTGTAAGACAAATAAAATAGGACACAAAGTCACTGGACTTGCTCATGGTCACCTAGAAAGTTTGTGGTGAAGCCAAAAGTAAGAATCCTTTCCCTGGCGTCCTCGTCCTGCTGCTCGGCCCACTCACACACTGCTGCACTGTTTGCTGATGAATTATGTGGGCTTTCAGGAACAGCTCCTTATGCAAAAGAGCCTCAGCAAGCTCCACTATGTCCTTGCGAGGGGATGCACTTCACTGTTTTCTTCATGCATTATGGAGATGACTATAGCTCCTCCTCCCATACGCACCCTCCATCTGTGATCACTAACACACACTACAGGGTGCTTCACTTTGGATAATGTGTGAACAAGGAACTTAATTTTGGAAAATGGAGAAAAAAATCTGAAAGAAAGGGTCAGGGGCCAAACAAAAGTCCAAGAAACTAGTGTCTTTAAAAATAGTCCATGCGGGCTTCCCTGGTGGCGCAGTGGTTGAGAGTCCGCCTGCCGATGCAGGGGACATGGGTTCGTGCCCCGGTCCGGGAAGATCCCACATGCCACAGAGCGGCTGGGCCCGTGAGCCATGGCCGCTGAGCCTGCGCGTCCGGAGCCTGTGCTCTACCACGGGAGAGGCCACAACAGTGAGAGGCCCGCATACCGCAAAAAAAAAAAAAAAAAAAAGTCCATGCAGATTCAGCATTCAGAATGCATTTGCAAGACCTTCTTTCCTGCTCAAGGGAAATAAAATATACCGTCCATAAAGAAATCTCTGTAATCTCTCTCTCTCTCTCTCTCTCTGGCTCCACCTACACTAGTCATCTACATTGTTAGAAGGTCTCCGGCCAGGCCCTTTTCAGGACTTGCAGTTGCTAATACCACAAAGGGCACCCTCTACTGATTTCCACTACTCTGTCATCCTCAGTGCCCATAAAGAGACTCAGATTCAATATGAGACATCAAAACTGTAAACAATAATAGCTAACATCTGTTGAGTACTTGCCATGTGCCAGGCCCTCGACCAAAAGCTCTGTGTTTAACATCTCATTCTACTTCTCTTAACCACCCTTGGCAAAGAAGGTTTTATTATATCCATTTTCTAAAAAAAGGGAAATAGAAAGCTTCAATAACTTGCCCAAGTTCACAGAGCTGAATTTGAAACCAGGTATGTCTCTCCAGAAGCCACACTCTTAACTCTATGCTAAATACCTGTTTCAAAAAGCTTAACAACCTTGTGAGTCTAACAATCAGCCACTTGTACCTGCAGTAGAAGTCAAGGTGGCCTTCAGACCCGGGGGCATTCCCTATGCGGGGTCAATCCATCAAGTGAAGTCTGGCTGTACCTTAGCCCCCCATGCAAGCCCCACCCACATCAGGAGGGTGGCTACAGGGAGAATGTGTATTGAGACAATCATTGTTTATAACCAGAGGAAAGCTTACTGGAACAAAAATCCCATTTCTCCATTATTCAAGCCATTCCCAAAAGAAGACATGCAAATCTGAATGTGGCATTAGCCCTGGATTTTTGGGGACTGACAGAGCTAAAAGACTGATTTTTCTGAACATTATGTACATGGTGTACATATGTACATGAATTTGGCCACCAAAGAAACTTTGCATAAAAGCACATGTCCTATGAAGGCATTTTCTTCATATTTTAGGAGATCAAACTTTTAGTTCCTCATTGCTATGACTAATAATGTCTCTGAGATGATGTTAGTTTCCATGTGGGGAGTTTGTGTTTCATAATATGCTTGCCTGCATCAGGTTTTAATTTAGCCCAAGTGTAATATTTGGTCTCTGAATTTCTAACACTATTAATTCCAATAATACTGATTGAAAATATAATGGAAATGGTAAACAGTAATAGTTTAGAAATAATTAGAAAAAATAATTATTTTTTTAAATAAAAAAAGATATAAATTTTTAAAAAGTACCTGTTATGCCCAAGAGTCTTAAAGAGATTTGCCTATTCATTACCTCCCAAAAGCCCTGCAGGGTGAGAATGAAATTTAATGGCAAACTTGATGAGGTTCCAGAGATTCAGACAAGGATTTGAGGTCTCAGTCTGTGCTGGACTCTTCCCCAGATTCTGGGCTGAATACTTTCACATAGAGTATTTTATTTAGTGTTCATAGTTTTCATATATGAAGTATGTATAATTAGCCTTAATTTAAGCCATAGAAACTGAGACACAATGAATGTATGTAGCTCATACAAGGTAACACTTCTAGTGAGTAAGTGAAGAAGTTGGACTCTGAGTCCAGATGCTTGATTCCCCCAGGAAAGAGTTCTTTCTATAAGTTGAGCGCTATTTGGATTCAGTATACCTAGAATTCACATAACCGTCATGTTACTGTGATTGCTTATTTCTTTCGCTCAATTCCCTAAGAACTTAATGAATGAGGATCCTAGCCCAAATTCCTATCAACTATTGTGATTTTGTTAAACTAACATCCCATCTGACATGATTCTATGGGAGAAATGGGGGTCAGTGCCAACTTCACGGATGGTGATGACCATGCAGTCCATTTCCTATGGAATTTTATATTCAGAGCAGAGTGTTCCAAACATATATTGTTAGAAAAAGAAGCATCAAATTTAATTATATAGTTGTTTGTGGGCCTCTTTGAAAGGCATCCCTTGCCAATTCTGGGCCTTTAAAGCCACGGTTTGTTATTTAAGGGATTGTTCCTTTAAACTGCCAGAATTGTTTGTGGAAGACGTTTTCTTCTCACATTTGACCAACTTAGTTCAGTCAGCCCTAGAACAAAGCAATTTTACTTTTAAAAAGATCTGTGCCAGCAATTTTTTATTTGTTGCAGAATTTAAGATCTTAATTTGTATGTGGGTGATAAAAGTTGGCCTGTATTATAATTAATTTACTTCATTATAATGAAAAGCCCTAACATTAAATCTACCATCTTCCATTTTTAAGTGTATAGTTAAGTAGTGTTAAAATATATTCACATTGTTGTACAACAGATCTCTCAAACTTTTTCATCTTGCAAAACTGATACTCTACCCATTAAAATCTAATCCTCTCTTTTCTCTCCCTACAATCCTTAGCAACCACCTCTCTACTTTCTCTTTCTATGATTTTGACTATTTAAAATAATTCATATGAGCGGAATCATACAGTATATTGTCTTTTTGTGACCGGCTTATTTCATCTAGTGTAATGTCCTCAGGGTTCATCCATATTGTAGATATGACAGGGTTTCCTTCTTTTTTAAAGCTGCATAATATCCCACTTTATATATATGCCATGTTTTCTTTTTCCATTCACCCATCAGTGGACATCTGGGTTGCTTCCACCTCTTGCCATTGTGAATGATACTGCAATTTTCATTGGTGTGCACGTATTCCTTTGAGATCCTGCTTTGAATTCTTTTGAATACATACCCAGAAGTGGGATTGTTGGATCATATGGTAATTCTGTTTCTAATTTTCTGAGGAACCCTCCATACAGTTTTCCATAATGGCTGCACCATTTTACATTCCAACCAGTAGTGCACAAGAGTTTTAATTTCTTCACATCCTCACCAAAAGTTTGTTATTTTCTGTTATTTTGACAGTAGCTATCCTCTTGGGGCCCAACTTCATTCTTCTGCAGTGGATAGCTAACACCATTTGTTGAACAGACTATCCTTTCCTCATTGTGTAGTCTTGGCACACTTGTCAAAGATCATCTAATCATATACGGAAGAGTTTATTTCTGGGCTCTCTGTTCCATTGGTCTGTATGTCTATCTCTGGTTATTATTACTTGTAGTATGTTTTCTGGGGTTTTTTTAAAGATTTTTTTTGACGTGGACCATTTTTAAAGTCTTTATTGAATTTGTTATAATATTATTTCTGTCCCATGTTTTGGTTTTTTTGGCCATGAGGCACATGGGATCTTAGCTCCCCCACCAGGCATCAAACCCGTACCCACTGCATTGGAAGGCAAAGTCTCAACCACTGGACCACCAGGGAAGTCCCACTTGTAGTATGTTTTGAAATCAGGAAGTGTGAGGCCTCCATCTGTGTTCTTTGTTTTCAAGACTGTTTTGGTTATTCAGGGTTCCTTGAGATTCTATATGCATTTTAAGATTTTTTTCTATTTCTGCAAATATTGCCATTGAGATTTTGATAGGGATTGAATTGAATCTGTAGATTATTTGGGGCAGATAGACATTTTAACAATATTAAGTCTTCTAATCCATGAACATGGAATGTTTTTCCATTTATTTGTATCTTCTTTTATTTCTTTTAGCAATGATTTGTAGCTTTCAGTGTACAGGTCTTTCACCTCCTTGGTTGAATTTATTCCTAGGTGTTTTATCCTTCTTGATGCTATTGTAGGTGGGATTCTTTCCTTAATTTCATTTTTAGATGGTTCATTGTTAATGTACTGAAACACAATTGATCTTGTGTTCTGAAACTTTCCTTAAATTGTTCATTAGTTTTAACAGTTTGGAGTTTTTTTTGCGTGGCATCTTTAGGGCTTTCTACATACAAGATCATATCATCTGCAAACGGGGACAGTTTTACATCTTCCTTTCCAGTTTGTCTTTTACTTCTTTGCCTTATCTAACTGCTCTGGCTAGGAGTTCTAACATTAAGTTAAATAGGAGAGGCTAGAGTAGCAATCCTTGCATTGTTCCTGATTTTAGAGGAAAAACTTAACACTCTTTCACCACTGAGTCTGATTTTGACTGTGGGCTTTTCATATAGGGCTTTTATTATGTTGAGGCAGTTTTCTTTTATTCTTAGGTTGTTGAGTGTTTTTATCATGAAAGGGTCCTGAATTTTGTCAAATGCTTTTTCTGCATCAACTGAGATGATCATGTGGGTTTTGTCATTCGTTCTGTTAATATGGTGTCTTACAATGGTTGATTTTCATATATTGAATCATCTTTACATTCGAGGTATGAATCCAACTTAGTTGTGGTGTATAATCATTTCAAAGTGTCATTGAATTCAGTTTGCTAGTATTTTGTTCAGGAATTTTGCATCAATATTCATCAGGTATTGGTCTGT